GTTGGCTTAAACACCAAATGAGTCACAATCAAAGCCCGGCATTAAAATGGTCTACCCAGAACCATGTAAAGAATTAGGAAGGCGGCCGCAACTATTCCTGGCTGGGACTGCAACTTACAAACCTTCATCTAGCCGGGCTTTGATTGTGGCTGAAATTGCTTCAACAATCTCTTTTTGGTCCTCGGGCCAAGGTCTTAGTCAAACATGTTTTGCCCAACCCCTTTGACCCCATTCTTCCATTTGCTTAAGTCCCCCCCCCAAAAAAAACAAAAACAAACAAACAACATATTTCCAGTAGTAACAGATTCCCTTCAAACGCAGCAAGAGAAATAACACATATTCTGAAACGCAAATGGAAGTGATTGGTCAGTCCCCCAAGTAGGAGCTATACAATTTGCTGCGACTTGAAGACCTGGGCTTTGCTCGCGGCCTCTGTTGGACAGTCCAATCACTTGAGACTCGCAAGGCCTCAGATCGATGTCCATCTCTCGCATCTCTCGGCCGGCGATCGATCTGCCTCAACACCCCGTCCAGCTTGTGACAGCATGATCACCGCTGACTCGCACTTGGAGCATTGGCGCAGTGCTGTGAGCTCCAAAGCCACCAGACTCGCCGGCCCCGGCAGCAAGCGGTTCTGTGCATAGTCTGGGAGTCTATCTTTGTGGTTGTGCTCCAGGTTCCATTGGTACCGAGACGTACCTGACACAATCATTCTATAGGCAAATATATTTGACAACAACTGGGTCCCCAACGTATTAATTGGGGGGGGTGTCTCCATCCAAAAATCGTGAGCACCTGCCAAAAAGATGACAAATTTGGGGTCAACCCGATTTCCCTTTAACAGTTGCAATTTACTGGTGGTTTCGATTGAAACGATTAGATTCCACTTTTGGAGGTTCCAAAAAGGAAAACGGCTCGGAGACCCTGCAAACAATTACCTGGGCTATCCTCAGATCCCCTGCGAAAAGAAAAAACACAACAACCACTTTTTGACTGGACCCCCCTTCCAGCCAACTAAAACAACCACAAAAGCCAAGTTGGAACCGCAGGATTCGCTCAGAACCGCCCAGTTCCGTGCGTTTCGGATCGCCGGATCCGATCATCCGACCGGATCCGATCCGCCTCGTAGAGCAAGGACGCCGTGGCAAGGGACTCGCCCTGGACCTTTCAGCTGAGGTGATATGCCCAAGGCCTCCGATTTTTGTTGGCAGGGAAAGCAACAGGAAGACCAGCAATCTCTTCTTTCTTTCTTTTTTTGGGGGGAAGACCGTTATGTGTTTTTGTTTTTTCCTGGGGCAGGGGGGGCTCCGTCCTTTTTTGTGGCTCGGTGGCACTTGTTGGGTGGTTCTTCAAGGGAGACTCAAAGGAATACCACAATGTTGGGTGTCCTATTTGACGTACTGACACACCACCCAAGAAACCCTGGAATGATTCGATTCCCCAACAGAAATACCGAGAAACAATTGTCGCAACCATGGTTTCTTCAAGTCGTGGTGCGAACGGATTTTCGGTCCATCCCTTGGTATATCCGTAGGACGACATCCTAAGCCGCATAATGCAGGTTTAAAGGAAACACGATGGAATTCTAAGAGATTCCCAAAGGGCTCACGTGGGACGTTGCTGTCTTGTCACCAATCATGGAAGTGGCACAGAATTGGAAGACTACCATCCTAACAAAGGACCCTCCCCACTTCCATGACTGGAATTACGGTGGAGGGCACCCTCCAACAGTCAGGGGGGTGTAGATCACTGCACACGCTTTTCTGCAAACATTAACCACAGCCCATTGTGTCTTGTCTGCTCTTGGATACCCTGACTGATTTCGATGTAAAGGGAAACCAAAACGACACCCCCCCCATTTGGGCATGGCTCAGGCGTGAGCCGAAGAGTATCCTACTGTGGATGATTGCGAAATCCGTGTGCATGATGAAGTGAGTTGAAACCATAACGTTTGTTGGCATTTACGTTGGGAAATCGAATCCTTCCAGGGTTTGTGATCAATTCCTTCCAGGGTTTCCGAACGGTGCGAAATGGATTTCGTGCATCAGCATGCCAAGAACTGGACCCCCCAACACGGTGGTAGTCCTTTCGGTGTCAACTAAAAAGAAAAGACAACAACTGAAATGGAACCTGTCGGAGCCGTCTTCTAAACCAGCCTTCTGGGTGCCCTTAAGTCAAATAATTTCGCATGTCCCGTCCCCCCCCGGAGTCTCTTGGCGCTTTCAATGGAAGACCCGACCCCTCCATTAGACACCCCGGGAATTGGTGGTTTGAAGGCCCTAAATCAATCGAATTGGAGCCTCCGGGCAAGCAAATGGAAGTATACCACTTATATAAACTGGTACAGTACATACCCCGTACTATGTGACTGGTATTACCTCCATAACCCATCCCTGAAAATGCCGTTGAAAGCAAGGTGTCCAGATATGCCCAGAATTTTCGCGACGCGCGATGCTCGCACACTCTGCGTCCCAGGCCCAGAAGTACTTCTCCTCGTCACACCACTTCCTTCTTGGAAAAGCCATTCCCGATTTTGGGCTCGGTACCCCGATGTTTGTGTCATGGACCCCAAGAGGGGGCCATGGAGGCTATCCCTTATTAACTCTTCATACGGCCTTAGAAAGGGCTTATCTTTCACTTATCCAGCGATAGCCGCCCTTCTGGCGCCCATGATCGTGGTAAAACCCGGAAGGACGACCACTTCTCTTTGTTTGTATTGGGGGGGGGGGCCTCGTATTTTTTGGATAGGGGTACCCGTTTGAGTGGGCCCACTCAAAACCAGCACGCTGGGCACATTCTGCGTTCCGCCGTCAGGTGTTTCCTCAACATAGGGTGACCCTCGCGGTTGGCTGGTGTTAGGTTCCCGTTCCAACCAACACAGAGGGGGGTCAGCCGCAAGAAAGGACCCGCCTTACAGTCTTATTGATGGCTCTTACATCACCACTCACTTCCCAAGTTGACTGGCCAAAAAAGGTTTGAACTTTTTATTTACCACTAAAATGGTCTTTCCAAAAAGTTTAAAGTCCACCAACTCAGGAAGTGAGACCAATGAAGCCTTTGATGCACATCTAGAAAATTGGTACTCAATATGGAATGATTTGTCCAAGCACACTTCGACATGCTGTATGCATAGCTGGATTAAGGGGAGCTATCACCTATTGACCTGTCACAAAGGCCTCATTAGGGGCTCATCCTTGGCTCAGCCCCCCATAGCCCCCCCATAGCCCCCCGCGAAAGGTCCATGAGCGTACTTCATCCTGACAAAACATCACACCCAAGGTCGAGAAACTATCAAGCTTTGATTTGTCTACGAAACTTCTCTTCTGATGCCAAAACGAGATGTTTGCCTTTACCACATCCCAAACCCCAAGTCGCCGTCAAAAAACCGCACATTTAGTTCTGGTAACGGGAAGCTTCTCCCAGAAAGGAAGCAACAGCACCGGGTGTCTAGGACTTTGTCATCTAGGTGAATCCCTTCAACATGCCAAGCAAAAACCATTGGGGCTGAGAAAACGCTGATGGACGTCATATCAACCCATAGCTATATACGGCCTCTTTGGCTGGTTTCTTATAGCTACCCGCAACCAATACTGAATGGGCCGGCTATATTTTGGAAACAAAACAAGTTGTTGTCCATGGTACATGCATCCTCGTTGTTGGTCCGGCGTCCAGATCACACAATAATAAAGAATGTATATAGTTGTTTAAAGTAGTAAGTTCGTACAATCAGCCCTGGATTGTCCTTTTGTACACATATAGATGGTTGAATGAATAGACACAAGCTGACCCCAGTGACAGAAACCAGTGGGATCCCTCAATTTTCAACCGACCTGACATCAAAACCCATCGATTCCGCATGCTCACTTCCTGAGCGGATTGGCCAAAAAGCTCCAAACTTTTTGCCTACCACCAAAATGGTCCAACAACCACATGCTCACTTCCCGAGTGGACTGGCCAAGAAAAACCACTTCTCGCCTATCACCAAGTGGTCCAAACCCACAAACAGTCTTGAACAAGTCCAGGAGCTCGGAAAGTGGTACCAGGTCCTCCAGCTTTGAGAGGTTAGAGGTTAGGGTCCCCGATTTTTGTTCTGTCTATTTTAGGGGAACCCTCCCCCCAAAGGCAGCGCCCCGAAAAAGAAGAGGTGGATTAATGATTCTTAAATCCCTCGGCGATTCCCGGGGTTTTGGTCCCTAGCTAAAAAAATGTCTTGGTCAGTCGGTCAAACAAAAAGGTAAAAGTTGGCCCCTAGCTGGCAGACCTAGGGCAGCATACCTTCCAACGGCAGGCTCCCCTCCCCCGTTCCAATCGACTCGATCCCTCCTGTCGGGCCCAAAGCCGTACACGAGGCCGCCGTGCTCGGCGTCCCAGGACAGGTCCCAGGCGCCGTCGAACAGCTCCTCCGCTCCGGTTGGCCATGGCTGGGCGGCCCGTTTTCAGATCCCGGGCGAAAAGCGACGAACTTTTAGGTCGGTTCAAAGGGAAATCCCGAAAGTGAAAAAAATGAAAGGCTAAAAAGCTAAGGGACCGGATGGCTGGGAGCCAGTTTGTCTCAAAGTCGAGGTACCAGCAAAATGGGTTGGGCTCCCTATGAGCATGAATCATTCAGGTGGTGATTTTGTCCACCAATCACTTTGAGGTGGTTCCCTAATAAAGTTGGGTTGTGGGTGGAGGTCACTGGACCATCTAATCATCATATTGCCATGGCTCCCAAACTGGAAATAGGGAACCCCTTGCTGTCAGCCTTCAGGCATGGGTGAGCTAGTTTTCCCCAGCTTTGCCCCTGACTTTTGCGGAAATCACGGGACAAAAGCCCAAAGACCGCTTCTTGGACAGCGTGGCTTTGGGCAGAAAAAAGAACATCGTAGGATGACCCACTCTGGTTCGGGGCGTAAAAGGACTCACGCCCTGTTCGGGTGGTTGATGTTCAACAGAAACCAGGCTCGCTAGATTCAGACTTCAGCTGCGTAGGGTGGTCAACTGAGGACGAGAAGGGGGGG